AGAGAGAGATACAAACGTGTAAAAGAAGTTAAGCCGCACTTAAAAAGCCCGAGTAACTCTACCGTTGAGTTAGCAACCCCCAAAAAAAAAAATTATTATTAATTATTATTAAATTAATTATTTAATTAAAAAATATATATATATTATAATTTTTATACGTATATATATAACAATTTTCTATTTTAATTTTTATATTTTATAAAAATTAATAAAATTTTTTAATAAATAAAATGTATAATAATAATAAAATAATAAAATGTATAATATAAAATAAAATAGAAAAAGAAATAAAAAGAAATTTTCTTTTTTTTTATTTTTTTAGAATTTTAAATTTCTATTAGAAATTTAGAAATTCCCTTATAGATTTAAACATTTTTTTTTTCAATTCAAACAAAACTTTTGTTATCCAAACAAAAAAATCCAAGAAACCCATTAACTTGAAATAAAGAAAAAAACCAAATTCTATGGAACAGAAATCTATGGAAAGAGAATTTATGGAACAGGGGATAAATAGATCCAACAGATAAGATCCAATTTCTCAGATCGGATTATATTTATTGATCACTGTTGTCAATATGAGTGTGAATATACTGAAACAAAAATCGTTTTTTCGTTATGTTAGCAGTCTATAGGTATGAATAGAGTATGAAATAAAAGGAAAAGGGGGGGATAGTAGAGTAATTTTTTTTTTTTTTTTTTTTTTTTTTTTTGCTTTTAATTCTTATTTCTCTTTCTAATTTCTAGTTTTTGAATTTTACTATATCCATTTCATGGTCGCACCAATTTTATGTTTTTTTGTATCTGTTGTTACTTCATTATTAATTAAAGGGAAAGTTGTCAAGTGAAAGTATATCCTCATTCCTTATCAATAAGCTCGAAGTTATTGTTTTATAGCAATTTAATTGTATTTTTTAATATTTATATCTAATTTAAATAATTATATTGATGGTTTTTTTATTAAAATTTAAAATTTTATATATCAAAGTATATCAAAATAGACTAGATTTGTGGTTACAGTTGAAAAATGTGGAATTCCTGAATTGCAAATTGAATTTTCATAAAGTAATATGGAATAAAATTTTAAATCCCAAAAAAATTTGGAATAGTGTGAAATGACGTTTTAAATTTCAAAATATTTTAGGATGAAATCGAAATGAGGTTCATTCCATTCCATACTGTTTGAATTACAGTACTACTTATTAAGAGTTTTGATAGATTTAAATTTACACAAACCCTACTCTGGATTCAACTCATGGATAAGTCGGGGAACTAATGTATTTCATTACGATAGAAACACTAATTAGTAATTAACTCAATTTTAAATACAGGTTGTACTCCTTCCATACTACAATATAAGTAGTTTGTCAAAAAAAATATTGTATCTAATAGAATAAAATAAAAATATCAAAATTTAAATTATAACAATATTAATGGTAATTTTGTCAAATTATTTTTTGTCTCAAAATCAAAAGTATTTTGTAAAAATAGTTATATATTTAATGTAAATAAGGATATAACTAGAAAAAAAATCATTTATTACTTCTCAAAATACTTAAAATGTCTTATTTTTTGGGATAAAATAATCACACTGAAAGGATTTATATTTTGGCACAGATGGTGTAAATCACAATATACTCAATATCGTGAAATTCACTTGAATTTATTATTTATATTTATTTATTATTTATATATATAGATTTTAACAGGCACAGACATTGAAATTGATATCTTCCATTAAAAATTAACTCCTATCTACTCCCCCAATTGTATGAGAAGTGATGAATGATAAATCAAATAAGGAAGAATCCTGTCCAAACATTTTGATATGAAGGACTTAGGAGAAGCAGCTCATATTCTAGGGATTAAGCTTATGCGAGATCGCAAGAATAAGATAATAGGTTTATCCCAAGCTCTTTATATTGATATGATTGTTGCTCGTTTTAACATGCAGAATTAAAAAAATAAATGAAACCGTTTTGTGTAAATTAGATTTTTTTGAAGTCCATTAAAATTTTGTGGTATTTAATTCAAACTCTTATAAAATTCATAAAAATCTGATGATATTCAATTATGACTTGTTAAAAGCCTATACAAATTCGATGGTATTCAAAAAATAGCTAAATTTGAATGATTCTATAAATGTATTAATTTCATTGGATTTTAAAGTGCTAGGTAGAAATAAAAGAGTCATTCGCAAATTCATCCTCCAACCCAAAGATTTCAAAAAATCTTTTAAAAGAGTTTGAATCCTATACACCCCTTAATAGGGATGGAAGCGGGGTGACTACTCGTGAATTTTAAACTACAAGTTTAGGTATCTGTATAAAATTTTATTACCCATTTAAATATTCATTTAAGTAATCGTATTCGAATCCGTTTAAATTTTTACTGCTCGTATCCGTCTCAAATTCGTTTAAAGTGCCTCTTAAACTGGTAGGAGTATCCGCAAATTTTAAACTATCCAAATTCAAACTTATTTAAAATATATTTTTAACTAATACTAGATACGGTACCTACAAGTACCCACTATCGAACTTGTTTAATATAGTCATTAACGGGTAGTGGATATCCAAAGATATACATCCGTACCCTACATGTATCTGTTACGGGTAATAATTTCACTATCCAATTCTGGATAACCCTTTCTTTTTTTTTTTTTCTCATTCTGCACTTTTTTTCAATTTCAGATCCTATTAGAGTCCCAATTGTAGTTATGAAAAAAATATCTAATTTTCGGTATGAAAAAAATTTTAGCAATGAAAGACTCGACTCTTATTACAAATGAATTTCGAAAAATATGAATTTCGAAAAATTTCTAGAAATCACTGCATTTCTTAGTGTTAAAATAGAGTGGAGCAGATAATAATTTTAGCAATGAAAGACTCGACTCTTATTACAAATGAATTTCGAAAAATTTTTAGAAATCACTACATATCTATTACAGGTAGTAATTTCATGATTTATATCCATTCTAAATGTATTTATAACTACATATATCCTCTTTAAATGAATTAGAGTGGAGCGGATAATAATCAATGTAATAATTATTAGATTAGTTTCAAATTAATTCATGTGCTGAGAATTTGATATTTTGACAAAACTTAATATTAATACTACTACAAATTGTTCAGAATTAATTTGATTATTTTCAAAAATTTTTATAGGTTGAATTCAATTAAATAATGATTTAATCAAATAAAAAAATTGAAAAAGCTTTGAAATAGTTGAATAACTCAAGAATAAAGTCTATCATTGTTCCATACATTCGATATATAAAAATTATTTGTAATTTCATTAAAAAGTTAATCAAAATCTATAAAAAAAATGACCTGGCAATTCCATAAAACTATATGTGGAATTCTACTGAAATCTGTAAAATCTTAGAAAATCCTTCAATTCCGTCAAACTTGATAAGTCTCTTAAAATCTAACACAACCATAATCCAATACACCCCCTTAATTTTTTTTGAGATAAGTATTTTAAATTGTAATAAAGAATTATAAATTTTTAATTATCTTGTTATTGAAATATTTATCAAGTATTTATATGCAATTGAAGCTATATCACATATACATGAAACTTCTTATCCTTTTAAATATAATTCTAAACTTGTATTATTTGTAACAACAACAATAATAATAATAAGCTTTCAATAATTAAATACAATAATCAATATAATTTAAAATAATATATATTTAATGATAAATATTCTAAAAAATATTAAGAAAACCCAGGATAAAATTATGACACCGAATATTAATATTTTGCTATCAATTAGCCATTAGATTCTAATATTTAAAAATTGACCACTAAATTAAATAATAAATAACAACCGGTTGTTGATTGTATAAATAAACTATTGCATCTAATTTGTAAAAAAATGAAATCTTTCTTTTATTTATTTATTTTTTTTTAAAAAAATATTTCTTTTGATAAAAGGCAAAAGGAAAATTTTAACTTTTTATAAATACAGTGCAACTACAAGTCCAGTACAAAAATTCCAATCTAAAATTTTTTTTATACGTATAACTCTAGTAAATTATTTAAAAAAACGTATCTTATTGTAAACCAGACTATATTACACATTAGATTAGCATTACTAATTAAATGATTTAAAAAATAATAAATTAATTAATTTGCAATTGAAAGATAAAAATATAAAAAGCAATACATCCTATTATAACAGATAAGTTGTCATGTGTCAATTAGTGAACAATTATGTGCTGATACATAATTTTTCACGTTTTGTATCTTAGTAAAAGTCATGTATGACAGTTATTTTCGCAAGTGTATAAAATCGCAATAAGTAATATAGAATGAATAGAGTATAGAGATTATATACCAAGTACCAAAATTATGTTAACCTAAACGGCGATTTAGGAAAATTATTTTAAGAAACTAAATTAAACAAGTAAAATAGAACAAAAAGAAATC